CTCTAAATGTAAGGAGAGAAATGTATTTTAAACAACCACTTTTCTCCGCATTCAAATCTCTATAATCGAGCCTTATATTTAAAGTATTAATTCCCACTAATATTTATTGGATCCTACTTTTGACTAGAATACAACTATTTTTGAATTTGGTCCCTCTTTAATTCTAAGGACATAAACTGTAATTTGAACTATTACATGACTTCTCATTCAATTTCCTCCCATTAACCATTAAGTCTTACTACTAAGTGTGCACGTGCTTTGCACGTGGCAATTTTTGATGATGATAGTAAATAATATGTTTCCAAAATTTTCTGTAATTTTTTATATTTCTATGTCCATAAAAATTATTCTTATTTATCACACTTATTTTTGTTTAATATGATAAACATATGATATTAGAGATGTTCCCAAATATTTTCTCCATTTTATTATATTTTTATACTTTTGTGTGTTTTCATCTTCTTTTAATTTTATAATTATTTAGTTATGATATCTAGCATTGAAACATTGGACTCAAAAATTGAATTGTTTACTTGCCCGCAAATAGGAAAACAACTCCATTTTTGGGTTGGTTTTAAATTTGTATTTTATTTTTAGCATCAATAAAAACAATTATTCTCTCACACTTGTTTTTCTTTAACATGTTTAGTTAATTAATATAGTATTCAACAAAAAAAAGTGGGAGTTCCTAAATGTAAGACTTAATGAGAGGGAATTGAATGAAGAGAAATGTAGTAATTAAAATTATATTTAATGCCCTCACAATTAGTAAAGGTATAAATTGGGTTGTGTCGGACCTGCGGCCCGCGAGCCGAACCAGGTCATACAGGCCCGTACCATGCCATGTCGGGCTGTAGGCCTTGGCCGAGTGGGCTAGGCTATGGGCCAGGCCTTGTCCTGGGTTGAACCGGGCCAGACTATTTTTCTTTTGTTTTTTTTTTATTTTTTTAAGTAAAACTAAAATACTAAACCTTCCTTTGGGAACAAATTGAAAAAAAATAAAAATTCTGACAAAGAAATGAAAAGATGCTTAACAAAAGACAAAATGGACAACAAATTGGAAAAAATAGGAATTTTATTTCATTTAAATTTGAACAATACAATGTTAAAAAAATACTTAACAAAATGGAATAAAATATAAAAAAAATATAATACAATTACAAATTGAAAATAAAAAATTACATTGTTGAAAAAATAACAAATAATTTAAATAAAATTGAATAAAAAATTTACAATAATATTAAAAAGTGATACAAAATTATTGAGTATACAAAAAAAAATATTTTCTTCATCATTTTTCTTCAAGTTCCACCTACATCAAAATCTTGATTTTGATCATTCATGTAGCTGCACATCTCCACAATAATATTAAAAAGTAGATGCACATCTCCAGACTTTCATCATTCATGTAGCTTCTCTTGTCATCCAACAACTTAGTACTTGCATTAAAATAAGACTCTGATGGAACTGTAGACACTGGAGTGGTTAGTAGATCACATGCCATGGCGGCAAGGGCCAATAATTTTTTTTCATGTCCACTCCACCAGGCTAAAATATCAAAAGTATTCATTCCCTCCAAGTCAAAGCAATCACTTAAACTAGAAAAATTTCTTATAAATAAAAATTAAGTTCAATAAATGAACTTATTGATGAGGTGCCAATAGATTTCTGCCTCCTATTTATTAGAGACCAAACTTAGTCTTATCCACTATGGAACTAGTTATTTCAGAAGTGAAAGTTGCACCTATACAAGTTGCAGATATTTTATGCCTTATTAATTGATATTCATATAACATATGCATTTCAAATAATAAATTATTAATTTTTTCTTTTTGTTTTCCAATTTCAATATTCATATTTTCACAATATGATTCAAGTAAAATATCTAAACCATCTTTCCTAATCCTAGGATCTAATATTGTACCTAAACAATAAAGAGGAGAAATGTTCTCCTAGTATTTTTTAAATTTATTTTCCATTACTTCAACATTCTTGTAACTTGTGGATTTTTTCTATATTTTGAAAAACATTCACTAATCATGAATAATTGGTTAATTAAAAGACAACTAGTTGGGTAATAAACACCCAAAAATTCATTACTTGCATTAGAAAATTTGTGTAAAAAGTATCTTATACAATTTGTCATTTCCCAATCTTCCTCAAGTGGCATTTTTGCATTATAAAAATCAGTGAGAATTTGTTTTAAGGAATACAACTTTATAATATAAAATATGTAGAAAATGTTTATATTTTAAACCATAATTATGACAAATATTTAAATTCTTGTTTTAATTTCTTGCTGTAGAACTTTTAATATATATATATATATATATATATAATACAATTTCTAAAATAAATTTTAGAAACACGATAAGAAATAATATTTAAAGAATTTTGAATACATAAATTTAAGATGTGACATGCACATCTAATATGAAATAATTTACCATTTAAAAGTGATTTTAATTGAGATTTTAAAATATTTTTTACTAAATCACTATTACTAAAATTATAAAAGCTAATAGAAATAAGTTTATTATCAATTCTATAAGCATGTAAAGTATTTAAAATACTTGCAGCAATAGTTGGGCTAGTATGTGGTCGTTCAAGCCTAGTAAAACTTAAAATTCATTTTTGTAAAATCCATTTTTCATCAACTAAATGACCAATAACACAAATATAACTTATATTAAAATTAGAGGTCCAAATATCAGAAGTAATTGCAACTCTAGAATTAAGATTTGATAAAATAAAAATTAAATTTTTTTATATGAATAAAAAATTTTCGAAGCATCTGTCCTAATAGTACTTTTAGAAACTTTTTTCAATTGAGGATTTACAGAATTACGTAAAAACTTTTCAAGGTTACTATCCCCAGCTAATAAAAATGGTTGTTCAGCATGTACAATATATTTTGCTAACTCTTGCCTCATTTTTTCTTGTGAATATTTAAAACTACCAAAACCCCCATGCCCAATTTGTTTTTGTGATTTTTCTTTCCCTTTTTTTCTTGTTTCTCATGGGTGAGCAAATGTCTACCCAAGTAACTAATACCACCCTTGCTAAAGTAGCTAAAGCCACTCCTACATTTTAGGCAATGATCCTTTTTCCCTTCGCCTCAACCTTCTCTATTTTAAATATTTTCCAAAGTAGGCTAGTCAACTTGGTGCCCTTTTTTTTCTTTCCCCCAATAGTAGTACTAAGGGTGGGAACTCCGACAATGTCAGTAACATCCATATCAATGCTAACACTATCATGTTACAACTGAACATCGTCAAATTTGAACATGTTAGGGAATTGATTTCGGGAGAAAGCCGGCCATTTTTTTTAATTCTAAAAAAATAAAAATTAATTTAATTGCACTTACCTGGATTGTCGGTTCAGAATCTCAATTTGATTTCAACGGTTGAAGCCTCTAAGCCTTCCAAATTTCTAATTTGAGATACTTGAGCATTCTTCTTGTTGAAACTTGAAAAAAGTCGAGACTTGAGAATTAGAGAGTAGAGAGAGAGTATTGAGAGTGTATGAGAGCTTGAAAGAGTATGAGACGAGAATTGCTGAACTGATGTGATAACATTGGTGGAGGATATGGCTATTTATAGGAATTTTAAATAATTCAATTGCTCAAAATAGCTTAAAAATGAACTGTTTTTTAGTTGTTGGGAGGGTTATTTTGGTCATTATAAAGTCATTTATCACTTGACCCAAAATGCCCCCCAAATTAGTTGTTATATAGTTGTTGGGGTGAATTTTTGTTATTTTCTCCCCCCTATATAGTTGTTTATAGTGGGCTATTGCACTTGGACCATTACGGACCATGTTGTGTCATATCATGCCAGCCTGTGGACCTGAAACCCCCATCCCAACACATCCCACATGATCAGCTAGTCCAAAATTGTGCTGGGTCGTGGGCGGCACGACCCAATTTACACCTCTAACAATTAGAGGGGGACCAAATTCAAAAATATGGATATTCTAGTCAATAATAGGATTTTTTTCAAAAAAATAGTACCTTAAATATAAGACTTAATGGGATTCAATGAATGTTAATGGGATTTAATACTTTATCTATAAGACTTAATGAGAGGAATTTGAATGAGGAAAGTAGGGCAGTTTAGTCAAATAAAAGTTCCACGTTATCATTCACACCTTTAATAGTAGTATAGATATAGAGATATAGGATATTAATTCTCATTCTTTCATTAAATCTTATATTAATTAACCATATCGATTAAAGATTATAGAAAAATAAGTGTTACAAAAATAATGGGTTTTATTTTTAATAGAAATAAAATACAAATTTAAAGCTAACTCAAAAGTGGAATAGTTTTTTTGGTGGCAAGTTAACAATTCAACTTTTGGGTCAAATGTGTCAACCATTGATGTCATAATAAATAATAATAATAATTAAAAAAGACAAAAACACACAAAAGTATAAAAATACAAAAAAAATTGTAAAAAAAAAAATTGGACACATCTCTAATATTATATATTCATCACGTTAATTAAACAAAAATAAATGTAACAGATAAGAATAATTTTTATATACATAGAAATATAGACTAGTTGTAGAAAATTTTGGAAACATATTATTTGTTATCATTATCATCATCAAAAACTGCCACATGCAAAGAACATATACACTTAGTAGTCCTAAAACTGTTTCAAGATTTACCACACAAATAGTGGGTCACAAACAAAATACAACTAGTTTCCTCTTAGTATGGATCATTAACCATGTTATATATGAATATTTTCTGCAGATACTTAAAGTGTATTACTTAATTTTTCTTCATTTGTTCCATACTGCATTGCTGTCTTCTTTGCCACATCTTTGTGGGAAGATTTGTCTTTGGTGTACTAGGATCTTCTTAGGGGATGTTTCCATTTCTAGTAGTTGATTATTAAGAATAGGGCATGAAGTTCCTGCTATAATTATTTTAACGAAACTCACTTGGGGGTTAAGGAAAAGGAGCATAATATTTAATTTCTCTTCTTGCTAATAGATCTACATGTGCTTTCTCTCTTGTCTACACACCAACAGGAATACAGGATATACAACCAATGTATACATATTACAAAATGTTTTCATACATATTACAATATTTTAACATTTACCTATAATCAATTATCTCTGATAAAATTTCTCTCTTGTCTGCATTTATTCAACAGCCTGTGCCTCACGCCCTCACCCAATCCCTGCCTAGCAACCCCGAACAGAAATTCCAATGTAACAACCATTGACTAATTGAGTAATTCACTCTGCCTTCTGGGTCTTCCTCTCCTCCTCTTCACGATCATAGATTAAACGCTCAACTGGGTCCTGAAGTACTGCATATGCATTTCCAATCATTTTAAAAAGGATGTTAGCATCCTTATCAATCTCCTTGGCAATTTCTTTCCACAGCCCATCATCTCCAATTCCACTTCTAGCAAATAACTGGCCTGCCTTGTCTGGGTGATGCCTAAGAGATGCTTTGTGGTAGGCATTCTTTATGTCCATTGCTGTTGCAGATTTTCTGACCCCTAAAATGAGGTACATATCCAAGGGTATATTTTTCTTTTCTTCTTCTTCTTCTAGTTTGGTAAGTTGCAGACAAGCTTCACTTATTTTAGTCGAATTACTTGTTGATCTGTCACTAGAATGAGTGGCTTTATCTTCTGATTGCTTTTGGAGTAGAGATATATATCTCTGAAGATCACTGATTGCTTGCCCATAATTTCTAATCATCTCATGTGTGCTAGCTCTTCTATAGATTGCTTTTGGGTAATCTCCATCAAGAGCCATTGCTAGGCTGCAATCTGCTATGGCCTCTGTAATCTCCCCCTGAGCTTTGTATGCAGCGGCCCGGTTGCAAATACAGATTGCTGCGAAAGGACGTGAGATGTCGTTCCCCGATATAGCAGAAGTGTAATTCCTAACTGCATCTGAATACCTTCCTGATTTAAATGCCTCATTTCCTGCAGCCTTGTGCCTTAGTAGTTCACGCACAATCACACACTTTTCAGTAATAAAACCTGCTTGTTCTTGCTTCTGAAGTAAATTAAGAGCTTCCTCAAGCTTTCCTAAATAAAAGTATGACTTGGAGATTAGGCGCCACCTCCACAGCCTCGCAGGAGAGATGGTTGAGCTGTTTATGTCACCAGAGGCTACTGGGTTAGAATTTTTCTCTGCTGAATCAAGAGTCTGCTCACACAGTTGAATAACACCTTCATACTTTTGCATCCTCAATAGAGCCTTTGCTTTCATTTCAATTAATTTATCCGAGTGACAACTTATGGAAAGACCCTGGGAGATTAGTTCTAGTGCCTTTTCTGCATCCAATGATGTTTTCTGTTGCAAAAGTTCAGTAGTTTGATCCATATAATCAGCCACTTGTACAGCTTTCTGCAGACCATCAGAAGCCTCTTTCACAAGTTTTCTGTCTGGGGTCATACCAGGGCCTGACTGCAACTTCAATTTCATGAAATATTTTGTTGCATCTTCAACTTCTCCCAACTCAAGATAACATTTTGCTGCTCTGAATTGAACCTTGAGATATTCAGGATCTATTGCAATAGCTGCCATACAGTCCACAAGTGCCTCTCTCATCCTTCCAAGAGACATCCTTGTTGCAGCACGGTTGCTATAACACAGCATCAAAGCCTCAAGACATGCCATGGACTTCTCATTTGGAGAAACACAATTCACCCCTTCTGTGTAGCAATACTTTGCTTCTCTTAGATTACCCTTTTCATAAGCTTGATTTCCTTTAAGTCTCCATTCTTCACATGATCTAAGAGTTTTCTCTGGTTCCTTATCCACTCCAGACATGTTCTGCTCTTTGTTTTGGCAAGTGGTTTAATCTCCCTGCCCAAAGTGCTTAAAGAAAAAGAACCATCACTTAAGGAGAAGAAAAAGAAAAGAACTGCAGAGAAGGAGAAGCCATGTGAATAGTTGGAAAAGAAAATGAAAGTTCATTATCCTTTTTAATTGAAAAGGGAACTCCACATCCAAGTCTACTACAGAGTTCCCATTCAACACCACTCTATCCTTCATCTTATGGAACTCTAATTAATCTGAAGAAATCATTTTATGAGGAAAAGAAATACTTACTGTGAAAGACTCAAGTCCCAGCAGTCTGCAACTAGACAGCCTTGCCGCCTTATTATCTTGCCACCCAAATTAACAATATGCATTCAATAGAAGGTGCTCAGGAATTATGAGTCATAGAAAATGTTGATGATTCAATTAATGAACAAACTGGAAGTATAGCTTTTGGGATAGTAATCTGAGACTACAAAGGTTATTTTTGTGAAGAAGTGAGCCAAAATGTAATACAAGCAGCTTATCAGAAGGACATGGAGGACATGGATTAATCATACAGAGATAGAATCATGGGTGGAGCATTGCCTGGGCTCTGAAATTCTTGAGCTCTCCCCTTATCTCCTACCAGGAACAAAAATATATACACCACTGAAGAATAATTATTAGAAGCTGCAAGGAAGGGGATCAAAATAATTAAGGCCCCATGCAAACTTGGTCTATCAGCTTCCATAAGTTGACTCAATTCTTATGAACTCTAAGCCTTTCTTTATTCATCTTCTCTTCTCTACACTCACCAAAACCAACAAAACTTAATGAAATCATCTGTCACATAGATTCACTATGGAAAATATGGAGAATCTGATAAGTTTTCCCTTTCTTGTGAAAGTTCTTAAGAACTTTCCCTTCTCCCTTGTTTTCAATCAAACCAAACCAAAGACAGCCTAAATTAATGCTTATGCCCCTCATTCTGAACTGTCCTGTCCCTTCTATAGCCCGTTGTCTTGACTCTTGAGGGTCCAATTGAAGGAAACAAGCAATTCAGTAGGCCCACTAGCATTGACGGGTGCACGCGTGAACCTGTTGATTGGTTACCCACCTGATTGTTCACCATTTTTGTGATGCCGGTTGATGGGTTATAACTTTTTTTCGGTATCATGCCTTTCCTGCATCATAATCTAACCCTAAAATTTTATATATAATGAGATTATATCTAAAAAAGAAAAAAAAAAACTGTTCTTTGCAAATGAGAAAAACATTTTGCTCCTTAGGCCCAGTTTGGAAAGAGTACAAATACAAATATGTAGAGTGCAAAACCTTGTATTTTGTATGTATTTGCACTGTGCATATTTGTATTTGTACTCCTTCCAAACGGAGCCTTACAGAAGGATGCAAGCGTATTTGTTAGCACCCTCCAGATGGACATATGCACCCAATATTGAATTAAAGCTGGAATTTTGTTTTTCATTTTTTTCCTTTGTTTTTTCATAATGACGTGTGAAATGGCTTAGTTGTTTATAAGTAACGTGCTTGGAAGGACACAAGCATCTTTCCTTGAATGAGCCAAGAAAAACTCTCTGCTTTCAACTTCGCTTCTTCAAACAAAAAATAATGGGTAAATTGCTAAAACCTCTCTTAAAGATTTTGACCATTGATGAAACTTCCCCTACAATTTGGTAATTGTAATCATCTCCCCTGAACTTTCTAACACAGTTGCAAATAGACCCCCTATGTTAAGATGGAAATGTCCAAATTCCTGATTTCTATAAAATAAACAATATAAACTTTATGAACTGTAAAAATGAGAATTTAAAGTTGCAGTTTCACATTTAAGTGATTAATATGAATAAATTTAAAAAATGAATCAATTTCAGAAAAGAGATTGAAAGGATTTAGGATAGATTGATATGAAGGAAAAATTAGTAAAATAAACATTTTGGTCAAAACAATCGCATGGGTGATTTAGAGATTTTTGTGCCTCTTATTAGAGGATTCTAACAGGGGAGATCTACTTGCAATTATGTTAGAAAGTACAAGAGAGATGATTGTTGTTGATGCTCGGATTAGCCGAGGGCAACAAAGTAAATTCATTCCCAAGCATCGAAGGAAGGCCAAAGGCTTTGAGGGTTTAGAGGAGACAAGCCGAGGCCGAGGGCTGGAGGCCGAGGCAGATTGTTCCTTCGGATACTGTAGAAGCTAAGGGCTAGTACTGAGAAGGGCGTACAAAGGGGGATGAGATATGGCTCCCGCGTACAAAGGGGGATGAGAAGGGCTAGTACCCGAGGCAAAGACTCTGATAGTCAAGTTAGTATGTGCACAAGGTAAGCAATGAGTTTGGAGCCGAGGGGTCCAGACAAGGTCTCAGATAGTGCTAAGTCCTTGGAAGAGAGAACTCTAGAGATCATAAAGGTTTCGAATCCCTTACCTTGCTAGGGGGTACTTAGGCTCGGATGGTTCAGATGCGAGCCGTATGAGGGCCTGGCGAGATGTTCTGCTAGAGCTATGCAGCGCCCTGCGATTGAGTCCGCCTGGTCCGTGTCGGGTAACCCCAAGTGTCCTCATGGCGAGCCTATGTTGGTGCCCTCTAGTCGACACACGTCAGCCCTGTAGAGGCCAACCAAATGCGCCTACATCACTTGCCTCCCACTCCCGAGGTAGAGGTGGGGGTCTGGAAGGGGCTCCGGCTTCGGCCAAAGGGAGTGCTGATATTGGTTGGTGCCATTGGGCTTGTTCAGCAGAGTGTACCCTGTAGTGGTGTCACCTTCGTCTCTCTTCTGCTTTGGCCTGATTTCAGTTCTTGGAAGAGAGGTGAAACTGTGGATGCCTCGGCTTCGGCTAGGGAACCCGAGGTGGAGGGGGCCCAGCAGAGCCGAGCCTGTGCCTTGTACTCACGTGGCGACGGTCTGAGGCCATGTGCGGTATGGGATTCACGGGCTGGCACGCCGGGGTTGTACCCGATACGGGTCTGGCGTGAGGAGAGCCTTCTTCCGTAGGGGGGATGGGTGCTCTGGGCAAATCGGCTTACGCGTCCATTGGGCCTATGCACCCGAACTAGTGGGTTGTGGCGAACGGGCCCATCGATTCGCTTGGCATCGTTTCGTCTTCCCAAGGCTGAGCGCCGGTTCACTAGGCGTCATTTTGTTTCCCCGAGGCTGGGTGCTGGTTCACTAGGCATCGTTTCGTTTCCCTGAGGCTAGCCGCCGAGTGTCACACCACGGATGGTTAGCAAAGGTGGAGGCCTCAAGACCGTTGGATCTGATGGATCTAAGTCGTTCATTCTTCTATAAATAGGGGCCTTAGTGGCGATTTTTCTTCCAAATATGTCTCTAGGCGCCCTTGCTGTCGAGTGAATACCACTCCCAAACCTTCAACTCTTCAATAGACCTCATTTTCCTCTTTTCCTACTTCGTCTTTAGGTAACTCTTTAAACCATGTCTACTCTGATTCTGGCCCTAAGTGCTATGAACATCTGGCTGGTTCGTAAGGGAGCTCCCCTCAAACTCCTTTCCCCCTCTCTCCCGTAGGTCCGCTGGTTGTTGTCCCCCCTTAGTGAGAGGTGATGGTACTGAGGGAGAGGGTAGCCTCCGGGGGTGCTGAGGGCAGCTGCCAAGGCAATGACCCTCCCTGTGAGAGTGCCGCATCTGTGACGCCGAGGGAGCCAAAGGGGTCCTCCCAAGCCGAGGGGGAGCAGATCCCGGATCCCATCCTAAAGACGATGGCCAAAAGCGTTGCCTGAATGGTGGCCATGGCTGACCTTCCATGTTCGGACTTCGACAGCACTCTAGATGTGGACCAAGTGAAAGCCCTAGCTAGGAGGTTTCATATACTTCAGTCCTACAAGCTTAGGGTTCCTGATGTTGGTGACCGTCGTGGACCCCTGATAAGGGGGAAATTTGCATATATCAACACTTTTTAGAGTTCGGCCTTAGGTTCCCTCTTCATCCCTTAATCTTAGAGCTACTAGAGTGGTATGGCATCACGATCAATCAGCTCATCCCCAATTCCATTAGGTCCCTTGTAGCTATGTTGGTGTGGGCTCGGCTTTGGGATGTGAAGTTGACCCCAAAGATATTCCGGGCCATGTTTGTGCTGAGAAAGCACTCTTATGAGGCTAGCATGTACTACCTTCAACCACGGAGGGAGAGACCCGTCAATAACCCTACGTTCGTCCACAACTGGAAGGGCAAATTGTTTTTCATCTCTTGCCCTGAAGGTTGGTCGTTTAGGTCGAGGTGGGGAGAGGCCTACACGATAATCGAGAAGTGTCCCCCTCCGCTTTGGGACGAGGAGGCCGCTGCCATGGCTCACCTACTTGTGCTGGGGACAATCAAGGCCAAGCCTTTGGTGGAGGAGGAGCTTCCCCTGGTGTTCATGGGGCTCAGCCCTGCCCCCCTCGGTAGGAGAGGTTTCATAGTTTTTTAACACGTTCCCTTCATCCTCATTTTATGATACAGACTTGTCTTCTTTTGTTTGTAGTGCTGATGGACACTCGGAAGTTGCTGCTGTAGAGTGCCCATGCCAAGAAGAAGGCCCAGGCCAACAAAAAGCAGAGAGGGCAGATGCCAAAGGGGCATGCCGAGAGGGTGTCCACGAGGGATGACCAGGCGTCGGTCCCCACCAAGGGGGCTAATCAGCAAAAAGTCCCCATCGACCGAGGAGACAAGGGAAAGAGGCCAACTGAGGGAGCCAAGAAGTCGGTCGAGGTGACAAAGAAGCCCGCGGAGATGGCCGAAGCGAGTAAGAAGAGGCCTGCCGAGGAGACCCTCAGAGAGCAGCCGTCGAAGAAGGTGGCCCACGGTGAGCGTCCTGCTGGGGGTGTCGTAATAAAGAAGCCTCCTACCAAGGGGCATCCAGAGGGGCCTTCATCTGCCCCCGTTTCTGCGTAGGAGCTCGTCAAGGGGGCCGAGCAGCTTGCTAAGGTATTTTGCCCCCGGTGGCAGATCCACGAGGGGGACTTCATCACCGAGGAGGGGGTCGGTAAGGCCCTAGTGAGCGGGGTGATCCTATCGAGGGATCACTTTGAAATGATGCAAAGTGACCCCTATACCGTC